AAAGGGAAGGCAAACGGAGAAAATTAAGTGTTAAACAATGTTAATGAATCTGACTGAATCAGCAAACACAGGTGCTCTTATGGTACCATGGCTATCAGGTTGTATTGTTTTTTTTGTATTTGATGAGAAGGAAATGAACCTCATGTGACGTTCCTCAAGGAGTGGTCAAATTAAAAAATCAAGTTTTCTAGCAGTTGAATTTGTATTTGAATAAAACAATCATTAAAAGACTTACTAGCATATATGGTTTGGACAGAAAGACAAGAGGCAGAGCTGAAGATACTAAGATTTTCTTTGGGAGTAGTGAGACTGGGCATGATTAGAAATTAGTACATCAGAGGGGCAGCTGAGGTTGGGTAGTTTGAAGACTGGGTTAGTGAGGCAAGGCTGAGATGGTCTGGATAAAGTACAGAGTGTGGATATATTGGACAAAGGTTGTTAAATGTGGAGCTGCCAGACAGGAGGAAAAGAGGAACACCAAAGAGGATGTAGTGGAGTTGGACATGCAGAGGGTTGGTGTGACAGAGGAGGATGCTAGGGATGGGGTGAGATGGAGGCAGATGATCTGCTGTGGCAGCTCCTAAAGGGAGCAGCCAAAAGTAGTAGTTGTCTGTTTTCACACATAAATTCAAAAGTCCTTTCTTACATGTAGGTCAGAGCGGCAGAGAGTCGGCTTCAGCTGTGTTTAATTACTTGAAATACCTTGGTTTGGGTAAAGGTGCTGCCTGACTCGAGCAGGCAGACAGGAAACATGATGACCACTCACTGCCTGTGAACCAACCAGATAATTGACAAATTTATTCAGTCGAACATAACACTGACTCGGTATGCGCAAGCTGCCAAATTGAAAACTGTTTAATGCCTGATCTAAATGTGTCGGACATGCAGTGTCTGGGAAAGTTCAGGTAAATGTGTAAAAGCAGCTTTTGAGTGTCAGATATGTTGAGAGGGGACTATTATTTTTATCCTCTAATATCGCTGTTGCATTATCCTCTATGGGGTTTAAATATTTTATAACACTCATATCTATGTGCATTATGGAAATATTATTCCACTTGGAAACATTTTTCCAGTAGCAGATAGCCTGTGAGACACACTCAGTGTGGCTGAGATGTGCTTCTCATACATCTCTTGACTTTCAGTCCTCCAATCAACTCGGTAATAGAAAGCAATAATATCTAATGTCATATCTTAACCATAGAGATGGTTTATTAGATTTAATAAAGGAGGAAACGTGCTCTGCAGTTTTCCCTTTTATCTTACATGGTGTGAACATATTTAAAAATTTTGTTTTGACAGTTTTCCTGGAATTGCTAAAGGAAACTGAATCCTCAGCTTTGCTTGCTGCAAGTTTATTCCCCTAAACAAGCGGTCTTAATTGACAGAGACAGTTTCACCACACGGCCAATCATTAGCTTCTTCTCACTTATGATAGGAAACTCCAAAACAGCTATTTAGCAGACCTGATGTTTATAAAATGTAATGTATGAGGGGGCACTAAAACTGGTAACGCTTATAATAGAGGTGTAAATTATATACACAAGTGATGCTTCACTAATGCATGACTCACAACAACATGATGCAGGATGTTTCATAAACTCATGTAAAATTCATGGTGCTATGACGCGTTATGGAGTTGCTGACCTTTTTTATGGGCTTGGTTCAGATCAGCAGAGTAGCAGTGAATTTTAAGTCCATAACAAAAACTGCATAATGTGTTTATGCAAACATTGACTTTTTTTTTTTGTGTGTGTCTTTGGGGGAGGTCAATTTTGGTGCCCAGCAAAAATGTTTTCTTTCCATCAAGGAAAAATCACGTGGACTTTGATTTAGTTTTTAAAATGGCTAGAAATAAAAAAGATAAAATCTTTAACTGCATCTCTGCGTGTGGACTGAATGTCCATGTTGAGCCAGGAAAATCAGCTTCATATAATAATTATATTCTTCATTTATCTGTTGTGTAAATGACAAGTGGTTTCACACACAAACTAAACTGCACTAAAAACGATTAAAGTCTTCAGATTTTTTTTTTTTTCTTTGTTTGTTTTGTTTTGTTTTTTCTCCCCCACTAACATTTTCTTGTTTGTGTCTCAGCCCTCAGGAGCAGGAGGATCTGGCTCTCGCTCAGGCTCTCGCTGCCAGTGAAGAAGAATACAGACGCCAGCAGCAGAGACAACAGGTACCAGGAAAGCTTATCCGTCAGTAGCATGCTAACAAGAACGCATGTAGGTACACTGTTGTCACAGCAACCCTTCCTTTTTAAACAGTCTTTTTGGTAGAAGATGAGACCAAATTGCTTTTTAATACATTTTTAGTCATGTGACGTGTACAGGTGCGGTGAATCTTTGTAACTTTGTTTTCTCTTTGCTTAGGGAAGAGACTCCAAACAGTCCACCTGCAGCCTTTCTTAATCTCAGATCACCATTTTAGACTTCAAGCTGTGCTAATTATTTCCTAGAAACTGCACATGTGAGGTGTCACTTTCCGGGATCAGTGATTCTTCAGTGGCACATACTGGCTCTTGGAAGTTGCTGACACATTACCGCCTTCTACAATATAAGCACATATACTTTCCAGCAGAATCTGTCATTTTTACAAATGATTTGCTCTGTAAATATTTTATATGGCTATCATGATGAATCCATTATATTAAAATGTATGATTATTGAATAAATTATGTCAAAGACGCACCCTGAACCCTCGAGTTTGTCAGTTAATTCAGATTTACACTTGCACTTGGAAAAGATGGGCTCTTATTTGGTCTAATCTGTAAGTCCATTTGAATCCATTAGTGATTTGGAATTGTCAAGTGATCTATAAAGCCTTTTAGCTGTTGAGGGTAGAGTTTGTTAAATTTGGGTCAGGTTTACTAATTATGAAGTACTATGCAGAAGTCTTGAGGGATTCCTTTTTTCTTTATATATTGAAAATGGGGAAGTGGTGGCAGCAATTTATTGAAATGTCTGCAAATGTGCATGTAAATACTATTTAAAAGGTGAAAACTGAGTATGTTAAGATTGAAAATGAGTATTTGGTTTCTCAGGCAAGCTTTCTTGTCATTTGTAAATAATGTTATAATGTGCCATTGTGTGTTGTTTTCTAGGTGTGCTTTTACTACATTGTCATACTGAAAAATGAAGACTCTGCCAAACACTTTCCAAATGGTTTTCCATGGTCGATGAAAATCTGCCTGTATTTTTCTACTTTCATAAACACTTACTGGCTGAAGTGCAGCCCCAACCCTCCACTATGTTTTACAAATGGTTGTAGATACTCACTGTTCTACCGCTCTCCTGACCACCTCTGTACATATTAATGGTGATTTGAACCAAAAATTGGATTGTTGGCCCTACGACAGACTGGCGACCTGTCTGGGGTGTACCCTGCCTCTCGCCTTGTGGTAGCTGGGATAGGCTTCAGCTCCAATCTTAGCCTTTTCACCCTGTTTCACTTCATTAAGAAGATAAGAAGAAGAAAAAAAGTTAAAGAGAAGTTACAGAGAATTTTATTACCACAAGCAATTAAGGACTTTATTTTACAATGCTTTGACCTTCAGACCTTCAGCAGCCATAATAAAGGTCTAATGCAAACCATGGTGAAAATGCGTGCAAATAATTAACAGCATGCTGGTCTTGGCTGCTCTGTATTTTACATAAGAAGTTAAAGCAAGCATTAATTTAATCATTATGTTTAAAAGTGTGATGTTCTTTGTGAACAATGGCTAGATAAGGTTGGATGAATAAAAATATGTGGACAGCAGTGTAATTAGCAGCGTATAATAAATGCACTTTTCACTGCTGCTGCACTATCAGGGTAGCCTGCTGTACCTGAGATTATCCCTCTTTGAGCAACGTAAATTGGGATGTGGGAAATTTTGTTGACAAATCTTTAAAATACAGATATAAGAATGGAACTGGTTACACTGGTTATTATACGTACTCTTTTACTTGTAGCAATTATTCAGGTGTTGTACAGCAGAGGGCAGTAAGGCATCATAAATGGTGCTCATTTTCTTTCCATAGGAAGCTGATTATTATTCCACAACTGTTAGTCAGAAACAAACTCTTTATTTTTGAGAAAACTTTTTTAAAACTATTTTAATGTTTTTTTGTTGTTTGTTTGTTTTTTTCCTTTGCTGCCATTTACATGAACAGTCAGGATAAAAAAAAGCTCACTAAGCTTTTCAGTTTATGTGGCAGCAGATGAAGTGTTGGAGAGTGTTGTGATATTAGCTGCCCAAAGCAATTTACATAATAATATTTAATAAGCATGGCTGAAGGGCGAACAGCTGCTGGACATGACCTCTTTAACCTACTGCGTTTACCATGTGTCACAAAACTATAATTATTATTATTACAGTGAAATGGTTACTCAGTCATTTCACACTTTGCACGATGCACTAGATATCTATGCATGCATCACTTACATCGTGCAGTGATTTAATCCCTTATAGATCGTAATTGTAATTTCAGCTATCTGCAAACAGCCAATTGTGGTTATTCAAAGCATGCTTTGCTGTTAAAAACACTGGATGATTTTTTTTATTTTTTTTTTATTTTGTAGCCACTAGAAGGTCTGATCAGTTGTAAGATCTTGCCGCATAAATTTACATATTCATTAGGAAAGTCATTTTCCTTAAGCTAATGTAGATGCTAACAGCTGTACAGGATTTGGGGCACACATTAAAACCTACATTTTATGCACAACATTAATTTAATCAGTTAATTTATTGTAAGGAATACCAAATTGTTACTATTTGAAATATTCCAGTCAACCTTATTAGCCAACAGTAATGTAATTTTTGCATTTAATTGCAATAAATCCATGTGTCCAGTCTTCTCCACTGGAAGTTCTTTTTATACCAGAGAAATGCAAACAAGCTAAGCATTTTTTTCCCTCTCCAGACTTATTATTAAACATTATTAGTGAGTATCTACATAAGCCACAAAGGAGAAGGGCACAAATTGCTTCATATTAAATGTAGATGGTTGCATAACACTGTCAAACATAATTGTGTTTCCCTGATAGCAGTCTCAGTGGCCTTGGTGGAAACGACTTTCATAATTATGAAAAGGAGAGATTCTACTTGCGTCATTGTAAATAGTTTTATAAGTGGAAACTGAAGACAGGCTGTTCCCTAGATTGTCAGACTTGTTAAGTAAGGTGATTGGGATATCTAACAACTAAAGCAGACAAACCTTCTCACATTCCTCTACTTTCATGATAACTGGTGAGTAAAATTTGAAGTGAAAAGAGGGAAAACAGAAAACCCAATGTTAAAAAATAGAAATCTCACTGGGATTTTCTTAAAGGTCATTTCTCTAGGTGTGGAAAACATTCAGACTTTGACAGGTTTACAATAGCAGCTTTTCGTCTCTCCTTGCCCTTGTCTCTCCTGGTTTGACTCCAGGTCACAATGAAGGTTTCTGAGGCGTACACTTTATTCACCTGGGCTCTCAGACACGTCAGCATCCATCAAGAGAGCCAAAACAAATTATGTTGTTAATCTCGGTAATAAATGGAGACATGATCTCGTTTGTGTTGTTGATTCAGGGGAAGTTTTGAGATTTTTGCTGGAGTGCTGCTGTGTCTGTTGCAGAGAAATTGACAAACTGTTTCTAGGTAAATGGTAAAGATTATCTCTGTGGGGAGAAAATGAGTCAGCTCTGCTTGCCACGAAATGCGATCATGAATCAAGTGAGTGACTTTACAAGTGGTTCAGCATGCGTCAGTTTTACTAGTCGTGTTTTGTCAGTAGCACTGTTATTCTCTGTGTGTGTCCAAAATAAAGTAAATTAAAAGTTAAAAGTAAAGATTCCCTTTCTTAAGTGAAAAACAAAAAAATAACCATTCAGTTTGTTATCATAAATTCATAAAAGTTACATATATGCATTTCCCAATAACAGGAATATAATCATTTTAAACCAAAGGGTGTCTACAGGTAATAAGGATCACAGGAAGATCAAACGCATGCATTTATAAGAGCTCATGTTGTTATGTATAGAGTGATGGAGCCATGCTTCCCAGCTGGAGTTTTATAGCCTAGGAGGAAAACATAAATCTGTAAGAGTCTCCAATTTCCCGGTATCACAAATGTTATTTCATAGCACAGCAGGAAAACAAGAAAGCAGGCAAAAACGTGGCCTTGTTGTGTCAGTGCTAATGGAAAAGTTGTGAGATTGAGGGGTCAGAAAACCTTCTGCTGAAAAGTTCCAAACCTGCAAGGTGCTTCCACATGTATTTTTGAAATGCACATCTAATATAAGTAGGAAATTCAGGGTATTTATTTCTACATTATAACATTAGAATTTGTGCATATGTGTATGTGTGTAAAACAGATTAACCAAAGCAAAGTGCTCTTTAGGATTTTGCTTCGGGAGCGGTTAGCATACTCTGAATTTTAAGGAACTTGCTTTTTCACTATACTTGAGTTGCTAGTTTACCAGCAGCACCAGCACCTGTGCAACTTGTTTAGCACAAAGAAACCATAAGCCCTGCACAGCTGACACAGTTGGCACAGTCACACACACTGCTAGCTGAATTGGCACAGTTGGTTATTCCCAGGACTCGAGCAGCAGAACAGAATAGCAGCTTCATATTTTTTATTTTCAAAACAGGAACAACAGTTCATGCTTTACTGAATATTTGTTCTCTGAGAACAACGTGTCATTGAGCAGAAAAACATTAATTTCAGCCATTAAACACCGGGAGCTAGAGGCTCACCAAGAGCTCTGAAGCTCAGTCAGAGTAATTTTATTCTAGGTATTAAGTACACTTGACACTCATTAAGGTTTGAAAGTGGGACGGTGGACAGAAAGAGCTCTGGCTGAGTGCTATTATTTTTTTCCACAGTGTAACATGTTTTGTCATTGAACAGATGAGTAGTGTGCAAGAATAAAGCCTGGCAGATACAAGCAGGGTGCAAAACACAACTTCATAATTAGAGCCAAGGGAGAATGCAAAAGCTT